ATACTCTCTTTTTGCTGAGGAAGATTGGCCCTGGGCTAACATCCATGCCCATCTTCCTCTACCTTTTTTTTTTTTTTGTGAGGAAGATCAGCCCTGAGCTAACATCCGTGCTAATCCTCCTCTTTTTGCTGAGGAAGACTGGCTCTAAGCTAACATCTATTGCTAATCCTTCTCCTTTTTTTTTCCCCCCCAAAGCCCCAGTAGATAGTTGTATGTCATAGTTGCACATCCTTCTAGTTGCTGTATGTGGGACGTGGCCTCAGTCTTTAGCAGAAGTGGTGCGTCGGTGCGCGCCCGGGATCCGAACCTGGGCCTCCAGTAGCGGAGCGCACGCACTTAACCGCTAAGCCACGGGGCTGGCCCCTCGACTCTCTGTTTTTATGAGTTTGACCTTTTTTTTTCCCCTAGATTCCACATGTAGGTGATAGCATGCAGTGTTTGTCTTTCTCTGTCTGGCTTATTTCACTTAGCATGATGCCCTCCGGCTTCATCCATGTTGTCACAAGTGGCAGGATTTCCTTCTATTTTAAGGCTGAATGATATTCCATTGTATATACATTACATCTTCTTTATCCATTCATCCATCGACAGACACTTAGGATATCGTGTGTCCATACCTTGGCTATTGTGAGTAAGGCTGCAGTGAACATATTACAGGTAGCTCTTCAAGATAGTGATTTTGTTTCCTTTGGATATGTACCCAGAAGTGGGATTGCTGGATCACATGGTAGTTCTATTTTGTATTTTTTGAGGATTCTCCATACAGTTTCCCATAGTGGCTGTACCAGTTTACATTCCTACCAGCAGTGCACAAGGGTTCCCTTTTCTCCACATCCTTGCCAGCATTTGTTACCTCTTGTCTTTTTAATAACAGACATCCTAACAGGTGTGAGGTGATATCTTATTGTGGTTTTGATTTGCATTTCCCTGATGATTAGTGACATTGAGCAGCTTTTCATGTACTTGTTGGCCATCTGTATGTTGTCTTTGGAAAAATGTCTATTCAGGTCCTCTGTCCATTTATTAGTTGGGTTATTTGGGGGTTTGTTGCTATTGAGTTGTCTGAGTTCCTTGTATAATCTGGATATTAACCCCTTATCAGATATGTGGTTTGCAAATATTTTCTCCCATTCCATAGGTTGCCTGTTCATTTTGTTGATGGTTTCTTTGCTGTACAGAAGCTTTTTACTTTGGTGTAGTCTCACTGGTTTATTTTTGCTTTTGTTGTCATTACTTTTGTTGTCAAATCCAAAAAATCATTGCCAAGACTGATGTCAGGTTGCTTACCCTCTGTGTTTTCTTCTAGGAATTTTATGGTTTCAGGTCTTACATTTAAGTCTTTAATCTATTTTGAGTTAATTTTTGTGAGTGGTGTAAGATAGGGATCCAGTTTCATTCTTTTGCATGTGGATATCCAGTTTTCCCAGCACCATTTATTTTTTTATTTTTTTATAATTTTATTTATTTATTTATTTTTCCCCCAAAGCCCCAGTAGATAGTTGCACATTCTTCTAGTTGCTGTATGTGGGACGCGGCCTCAGCATGGCCGGAGAAGCAGTGCGCCTGTGCGCGCCCGGGATCTGAACCCAGGCCGCCTGCATCGGAGCGCACGCACTTAACCGCTAAGCCACGGGGCCGGCCCCCAACACCATTTATTGAAGAGACTATCTTTTCCCCATTGTATATTTTTGGCTCCTTTGTTGAAAATTAATTGACCATATATACATGGGTTTATTTCTGGGCTCTGTATTCTGTTCCATGCTTCTCTCTTTATCACACGGATTCTCTGATTTTTCCAAACAGCACATCTCTCCCACAGGGTGATGAGAGCAGTAGTCATCTATGTCACCTTTACCTGTCAGTGCCAGTGGGAGCAGGGGAACGTTAAAATTGGTAGGGACGCTGACACTGCTTTGGATTAAACACCACTGAAGTCTGATGTCAAATATTGGTGATTTGTGGTTTTATATCCAGAATATAAGAACCAGCTGCTTTATCCATCTATCCATCCATCCATCCATCCATCCATCCATCCATCCATCCATCCATCCAACACAATGCGTTATGTATGTAACTACTACATGCCAGGCCCTCTGTTGGATGCTGGGGAGGCAGCATTGAACAAAACACTATCCCTGCCCAGGGACCTTAAAGTATGGTGGGGATTTTAACAAGTAAGGAGGAAATTATATCACAGAGTAGGATGCAGTGAGAACACAGAGGAGAGGCACCCAACCAACTTTTGGTGCTCTGGAATTTTGTGGCTGTAAAATCCTTGATTCTTTTATGTATAAAAATAGATTTTGGTACATTAGTAGCTGATTCTTAGTGGATAGGGTGCAAAATGGGCTCTCCTCGTGTAAAATGCTACCCTGTGGTGAACAGTGGTATGATGAGGCACCACTGCATTACACTGAGGAGCCCCCACAGAGCACAGCCAGCCCTGTTCGGCATCGAGGGCTGTTTGGTGTCTGGTGTAACAGTAACAAGGGCACAAGTTTTCAAGTCTGTCTTGAGTTCAGATTCCAGCGCCACTATGTAATGTCCCGTGAGTTACTTAACCACCCTGGGACTCAGTTTCTGCATCTGAAATGTGGGGTAATAAAATCTACATCATAAGGGTGTTGTGGGAATTAGAGGAGAAACTGTGTAAAGTGCCCAGCGTATGGTAGGCACTCAGTAAATGTTAGTTTCCTTCTTTTCTTCGAATTCTTATTCATTTGTATCCTGCCTCTCCTTTCGTGTTAGAGTATCATAATGAATCAACATGCATGAATAAAATCACTCAAATAATGTGTATTCTATATAATCACACTTGACCAAGTGGAAATTTAGTGAGAATGTGTTCATTTATTTTAGTCACAGTTAAGTGGAAGAAACAAAGGCACCTCCCTGGACCCATCAAAAATGACTGCCTTGATTCTGACTACAAATAAAGAGAGAACACAGGTATTTCACCGACTTTGTACACATATGCCAGCAGTTAATTTTATATGATTTTCAAATGTGTTATGTGATCTGGAGGGGTGGCGATCCCCAGTCCCCAGTGTCACCTTCTCGGATTTGTTCTGCTCCAGTGAACATCTCGGGTAGTTTGCACCCTCAGGCTACAAGCCACCTGACCACGTGGGGCTCAGCCTGCCGGGTCCCACAGGACCTGAGGAAACCCACCCAGAGCCAGAAGCTTGCCATGGAGAGTTTAGTTTTATTTCAACCAACACTTGTTAGGCAGCTATTATTTTGTAGCTCTGTGGCACCATTTCAGGTAGGACAGTGACCGTGAATGATGTATCGAGTCTCCACCCCGGGGGATGTGAACAAACGGGGGTGCCGCCATCAGTCGTGGGGCGTGCTTCACATCCAGGCTCAATACCGAGCTCTGGGAATGATTTGCTTTTTTAAAAGAATAAGTTAGTATGCCTTCATATTTATCCCTGTAATAACATCTCTCTTGCTCATTTGCACTTGCATAATCTTTCCTGAGAGGGGGACAAAGAAGTGGAGAAATAGCTCGTAAGCTGTCATTTCAAAAGCCCTGGCTGTGTCTGTGAGAGTGTGCTGCTCATGTGTGTCCGGGTGGAACAAAGATTGAGAACCGCTGGGTTAATTTAGGTAGAGTGGAGAGTTCTCCCAAGGTGAAGCCCGTGCGTCTTCCTAAGTCTGCTTCTTGGGAATTCTCTGGGTGATGCTCACATTTATCCGTCAGTGGCTTAGGGAGAACCTAGTGTGTGCAGGCCCTTTGAGGACTGTCAGACATGGCCCGTCCTGTAAGGTGATGATCCTCGAGGAGGGGTGACAAGACACGTAGTCCAGCCGCCTTGGTGTAGCAGAAACAGAAGAGCGATGGAGAGAGGAGTGAAACAAGCCGGATCAAAAAGGACTCTGTCCTGACAGACTAAGTGGCCAGCTGTCCTCTTTCCTCCTTCAGCATTCATTGCAAGGCGGTGGGTGGCTAAAACCACATCCCACAGCTGAAGCAGGCTAGTTAGGCTGTAACATGTAACCAGGGAGTCAGGTAAACCCAGCACAGTGGGCGAATGCCATCCACACCTTTTCCTTTACTTAATTTTCTTAAAATTTCTGGTGTACTAGTTCTCCAACAGAGATGTAGGTATTTAATTTCCATGACATGTCAGATAAGTAGAGCTGAAAGACATAGGGCAGTCTCCCACCTTGATAGATGATGGTCTTCTCTTCCGTTGTGTAATGTTTCTAGACAGCTTGTAAAATGCAGTCCCTGAACTTCTCAGGGCGATTAAAATATTTCCCGTGGGTGGGCACAAGGGGTGAAGAGACGCATTTATGTGGTGACTGTCAAACCATAATGTACAACCAAAAGTTCACAATGTTATAAACTATTATGACATCAATAAAAAAAGAAAAAAAATTGCCCCTGGAACTTTCTTCAACTATCTGAGGGACCAGGGCTAATGCGTGTTTCACATCCGCCTCTAACAACGTCAGCTACTTCACGTCTGGCGGGAAACGCAACTACTTCTCATTAGCTCCTTGTAAAACCAGCCCCAACCCTAACTATAACTTGAGAAATTGCAGCGTAAAGTGATTCAGTTTTTCTGTCTTGTTTGCCCAGAGAGAGAAGCCCGGATTTACAGTATCGTGCTCTCCGAAGAGAAGCACAGACCCCAGCCAAGAGCCAGCTCTGGATATGAAGCCCACCTGGTCCAGGAACAGATATCCTGCTGCAAAGAGAGGCCGCGCCACCATGGCGGCATACCCGTCTTTGCACGTGTATACATACCCCTAAGGCGCATGGGCCGCGCCACACAGGCGCTTCCTGGTGTGTTTTGACATGTTTGTACCGAGGGGAGTTGTGTGATTGGGAACTGTGTTCCTTTGTGGTATACTCTGTTGTGTCCTGACACTGTGTGCTTACACCGTGTGCATGCCCTCTAGAGGCGTACCTCATGAATTCAATTATTTTTTCATAGAATAAAATTTTATTATGATGTAGAGAAAAACTTCATCAGAAATTGATGTGCTCGTGAAACTACAACACAGATATACCTCATTTTAACCAATAGATATTCTCTCTAAAATTATATGCAAATCAATTTTAAGAGATCAAACTCTGTTTTAAAACATTCTGGGAGTGTGCTCCGTTAAGAAAGTCTTGTGTCAAAGCTTTGTAGCGATGAGCGGTCAGTCAGACTGTGGTCTGTCAGGTTAGCTCAGAGTGTTCCCACATAGAGAAACAATTCATGTATTACCCGGCATTTGATGGGGCATATGTTCAACACAGTTATGTAAGGTTTTTAACCCATTGATTAAAATTTTTCCTCTCTAACCAGTTGTTTCCTCTGATTGGCTAACTGCATAATCTTATGTGAATACGTTTTGTTTTATATCCCTCACAAGCCCCAAGCATGATCTGCCAGCTACCGCCTGTCGTGTCGACATGCTAGAGTCATGTTAAAGAAGGGTGACTCCAGTTCATGCCAGGCCTCCTGTTTTGACTTTACCCTCTTCTTGTCACACTGGGTTGAAAGTTTCCTAGTATGTTTTCATTATCACTTTTAAACTCTTTCAGCTACCACCACTACCTGGGTGTCTAGTGATGAGAACCACATGACAACACAAATTTTATTACAATCCCAGTGTCTGTGGTTTTTGTAATTAACAGACATTATTTTGAGAACAGTTTTAGATTTACAGAGCAATTGAGGAGATAGTACAAAGTTCCCGTATACTGCCCTCCCCCACACACACAGTGGGTGAGTCTTTTTAAAAGGAATGATGTTGGGGCCAGCCCCGTGGCACAGTGGTTAAGTTCACGCTCTCCGCTTTGGCGGCCCAGGGTTCGCAGGTTCGGATCCCAGGCACAGACCTATGTACTGCTCATCAACCCATGCTGTGGCGGCATCCCACATATAAAGTAGAGGAAGATGGGCACGGATGTTAGCCCAGGGCCAATCTTCCTCAGCAAAAAGAGGAAGATTGGCAACAGATGTTAGTTCAGGGCTGATCTTCCTCACAAAAAAATAAATAAAATAAAAAAATAAAAATAAAAGGAACGATATCTGCCCGTGCTCTTTACCTAGGAGCTTGCAAATGGCCTTCTCCTACTCCACACCCTACTCACACCCTAAAGCTATTAGTCAGCCTTTTAAGTACCTAGAAAGTACCTAGCCCAAACCCACTTTTTGTCCCTAAAAGGATCTCTTTAAAGGACAAGTCGAAAACAGTTACAGACTGCTGAGGGCAAACCTTGTTTGAAAGTTTGTTCAGAAATAACTTGTTTTTGCTCCAAATAACTTTCAAGAAATTCATAAAAAGCACCCCAGTATGATGATATTTTGGAGATCAAAAATCAGAATACATGATGAGTTTTTGTGTGTGTGTGTGTGAGGAAGATCGGCCCTGAGCTAACATCTGTTGCCAATCCTCCTCTTTTTGCTGAGGAAGACTGGCCCTGGGCTAACATCCGTGACCATCTTCCTCTACTTTATATGGGACACCGCCGCAGCATGGCTTGATAAACGGTGCATCGGTGCACCCCCGGGATCTGAACCTGCGAACCCTGGGCCGCCGAAGCAGAGCATGTGCACTTAACCACTACACCACCGGGCTGGCCCCCATGATCAGATTTTTTTAAAGTGCTTTTTGAGAGCAGAAAGCTTCCTGAGAGATGTGGTTTGGATGCTAAGATACTAAAGGGGCAAAAAGGAGAGAATCCCATGCGATCGAGGCACAGCCTCCAAGAGGCCGTGACCAATGAGTGCCGAGCCCTGCCCAGCTCAGAGTCAGTCCTGTAAAGGAGTAGCTATTTGTTGTCTTTAGAAAAGAGAGGCAAGTTTTCCTGCTCGGATTAGGAAGAAGGCCCCACAGGGAATTCCATGCTGCAGCATCTAGAAGCCAATGTGCCTGTCATTTCTCATTCTGCTTTTGGAAGGAGGCTGAGTGGTGACTCTGGCTAGAAACTTTCAAATGACAAGCTAAGGTGATTAATTCTGACTGTATGAACATGGTAAATCTCAGGCCGCAGGAGAAACAGCCCGAAGCATCTTGATCACTAAGAGTGAACTGTGAGAATGGAATCAAGGAAAAGTCAAGAAATAGCATTTTAGGAGCCAGCCCTGTGGCTTAGTGGTTAAGTGCGCGGGCTCCGCTGCTGGCGGCCTGGGTTGGGATCCCGGGTGCGCACCGACTCACTGCTTGTCCGGCCATGCTGAGGCCGCGTCCCACATACAGCAACTAGAAGCATGTGCAACTATGACATACAACAATCTATTGGGGCTTTGGGGAGAAAAAGGAGGAGGATTGGCAATAGATGTTAGTTCAGGGCCGGTCTTCCTCAGCAAAAAGAGGAGGATTGGCATGGATGTTAGCTCAGGGCTGATCTTCCTCACAAGAAAAAAAAAAAAAGAAAGAAATAGCATTTTAATTGGGTCAGAGGACAAGATCAACTTTATATTCAACCGTTGTCAACAAGGGTTAAGATATAGGGGAAAAAATAATGAATGTACATTATACTTTGTTTTCTTTATAAACTTAATTTATAGTCACTAATAGAAGTAAGTTTTTGAGATTCAAAATGGATTTGAGGTGAACACATTTTCTTAAGAAGCCTTACTTTTTGGACCACGTGGTCATAACTAAGGTCCTATTACCCTCTGGTGGCAGCATACCCCTTTCTGTTTTTGGAGAGGTGACAACACCTCTTGAAAGTGGTAGAAACAAGTCTAAACAGGTAAGGTGATGACAGCACGCATGACTCAGAAGTTTTTGATGGAACATTAAATATAGGAACTCTATACTATAGACATAGAGGCTCCTTGAAAACAGAAATTCTAAGTGTTTTTTCCATTTGTCATTAAAATAGTGCAAGAATTTTGGAGGTCTGTTGGTACCTGGCCACTCTGAAACTACCATTGATCACTGGTTTAGTTACGTTGTCACCTAATTTGATCCCAGCTATTGGCAAAAATGCCACACAAAAGGCTCCGCTCTGCAGAAATAGAACTGCTAACTTCTGATTTTCCAGGCTGTTCTCAGACTAGTTCTGGTTTAATTACCTAGAATAGCAGAGATGTGTCCAGAGCACAGAGACCTGGCATCTTCTGCACAGGATGCCTTTGAAGCTACAAAGCCTCCTCTGTCCTTTAAACTACAGAGACCACAGTACGGCATGGCTAGGTTTCGTTGAACTACATTCCACCAGGGACATTTCTGTCCATTTCTTAGTGGAATATTCCTGGGGAGGATAGTCTCATCTCTGTTCATGCTTGCTGAGGTCCAACATCTTTATCCCCTTTGCCTCACTTTGATGCTGCCTGATCAACTAAAAAGAAGCTCGGAATTTATTTTCTCCTTTAAGTGGGTTCCACCTTGACTCTGTGCGACTGAGTCATGTGGTCTATGAGAAACAAGCTGAAATTTGCTTCAGAAAGGTGTATTTTTGTTTTGTTTTTCTTGAGGAAGATTGGCCCTGAGCTAACATCTGTGCCAGTCTTCCTCTATTTTGTATGTGGGATGCCGCCACAACATGGCTTGATGAGTGGTGTGTAGGTCAGTGCCCAGGATCCGAACCCACAAACCCCAGACCACCAAAGTGGAGCATGTGAACTTAACCACTACGCCACTGGGCTGGCCCCAAGGAATTGTTTTAATTAGTATGTTTACAGACAAAGCTCTAGTGACGAAGTATTCGCCAAATGTCCAGAGCAATGCTTGCTTAATAAGGGTCAAAAGAAAGGAAGAGCCCTAAGAATATAGAAAGAAGTAATGCTTCTTGAAAATTCTGACTCCCTGCTGACACTCCTACCCTAAGATCTGGCTATTCCCACAAATTCATCATTCAGCAGTGACTGACTGGGGAACTATGGAGAACGCAATGATGTGAGATTCCATTCCCACCTCTGTGCTTAAAACCCAGGCGGAGAACCAAGCCTAGTGCACCCAAACAAACCAGTCAGTAAGACATTCCGCTAGCTTTAGAACGTTCTAGGAGGTTAAAGAGAGCCACCAACTTAAATTTAAAATGCCTTTGGGGACCGGCCCCGTGGCATAGCGGTTAAGTGCGCGCACTCTGCTGCTGGTGGCCCGGGTTCGGATCCCGGGCGCGCACTGACGCACCGCTTGTCAGGCCATGCTGTGGCAGGCGTCCCACATAAAGTGGAGGAAGATGAGCATGGATGTTAGCTCAGGGCCAGTCTTCCTCAGCAAAAAGAGGAGGATTGGCATGGATGTTAGCTCAGGGCTGATCTTCCTCACAAAAAAAAAAGCGCCTTTGAATCCCACCCGGGCTGGGGGCCAGGGGTACAATTGCTTAACGGCTCTGGACCTTCATTTCCTGATCTTAGAAGTGAAGTGCCTGTCCAGGTGAAGTGATTTCTAAGGTCACTTGATTTTTACGAAATTACATTTATCTGAACACTTTCGCAGCTATTGATCATACGTTGCAATAATGTGTCTGAAGTAGCTTCCCTCTTCAGCCTAGGCCAGCTAGGTCTTCTCTCGCTCTGTCTCTGGTCCTAAGGGAAATAAAGATTCTGATTGCTCAAAGTACAGCCCCTCCCGTCTTTCCCCCAACCCAGTTTGGTACAAGCCATCTGTCCCCCTACCCCCCGAACTGGCTGGTCCTAGACTGTTGGATTCAGTGACCAGAAATCACTTCACAACCCTTTCTCAGCCCAGCTCAAAGCTCCAATCACTCCCCTTTCTCCTTCTTGCCTTCACTTCCTCCTCCATTCAGTCCAGACTCCAGGGTGCATTACGTCAACCGCTTTCTTGCCAACGCCCCAGAGTCCTCACCCTCTGTCCTTCTGCCACATCCACCTGGTAGTTCCCCGACTTTGGATCCGTCCAGCCACCCTAACCATCTGTCTTCTCTCCTCCTACACCCACGCTA